AAACGAATTGACCCGGTCGCTAAAATTATTTTGTGTGACCAATTGGCGTTAATTAATCACATATGATGGAATAAAAAAAATTATATTATATCTACATGAATTTTTGGTCGGTGATTAATTATTTATGCACTTTAAAGTAAACAACTGAAATGATAAAAGAAAAAAAAAAATGTGACTATAATTATTTTATGGTCATGTGTTTAATTTCTTATGTGATTCTATAAAGAAAAAAAACATGGGTGTCTAAATATTTTATGATGATGGTTTGATTAAATGTGTATGATGAAGGAAAAAAGCATGTAAGTATTAATAATTTATGGTCATCGTTTATAAAATATGTGACTAAATATATTATGATCACGACTTAATTTTTTATGTGTCAGTGAAATTAAACAAAAGTCGTGATAAAAACATGTGATTAGTGTTTTATAATAGTCAAGGTTAAATTTTGTATTTTTGTGTCTAAAAATAAATAATATTCATGTTAAAAGAACAAACCTATGACTATGTAAAGTCCAAAATTTCAACTCAATTTTTATTTTAAATCAAAGGAAAACTTGTCATTCATTCATATTTCAAAAACATAAATCAAGAGTATTAATAAAAACATTTGAACGGAACATCTCATAATCATAATAACAAATACGATGCAATCACGTCATGCCCTTCCATGTACTGTCAAAAAGTCGTGAAACATTTAAACTTAAAAACATAAGCATAAAATTTAGTGAGTTGTCCAAGATACCACATACATCACAAGTAATGGGTTGTGCCCTGAGTAATGGACCACGTCCAATATATAGGGCTCCGTCCTGGGTAATAGAGCTCATCCAATATAAGGGGTCACGCCCTGAGTAATGGACCTCATCCTAAATAATAGTCCCCACCCAAAGTATTCGACTACGTCGTGAATAATGGGCTCCGCCCTGAATATTGGACCTCATCCTAAATAATGGGCATCGTCGTGATTATAACATATGAACAGGCCCCGCCTAACAAACATATAATAAAACAAGCAATAGTCATGAAGACAATAAGCATGCAATGAGACCATGTGTCCAACAAAGAATAGTTAGAAAAATCACCTCTCAAAGAGTCAGTCAAACACCACAGCTCGCGGAAATGTAAAGGCTAGTACAAAAACCACCTAAACAAGATATAAAACGTCAACCTTAGCCCATTACAAAAACCTTAAAGTTTGACCTAAAGTCAAACTTAGTCAAAATGCTAATAGTCAACATCTGGGTCAAAAAGCGCTTCATGTTTCATTTGGGCACCACGACCACAAAAGGACAAATCGGTCTTACAAGCCTTCAAATAGATGCGTTGAGAAACCCTAAAAGTGCCCCGCACTCATGAAAAGCACGTCACACCCAACGAGACATGTGGTCCGACTGGATGGCCTACATGTGGCACCAGCCAAAGGCCTCCCTTCCTCCATACGCAATCGACACCTAGAACCAGCCAACGGATGACATGTACAACATGTTACACTATTTGGGTAGTCTATATATAGTGGACAAATTTTTCTCTTTTTCCACTCATTTCCTCTCCAAACTCTCTTGACTCTTCTCTAAACCCCAAGGCCCAAATTTAGGAGTTTTGAAGTATTAGTAACAAAACTCTGGAGCAACTGAAGGCCCGATAAGAAGAGCTTCAGGTATCGAAATTACGCCCGCGCAGTTTCCAACTTTTCGCTAGTAAACCTATAAGTTGGGTTATACTTGTTATGCATTAAGGGTAACTTACATTTATGTTCGCAAACGTTATGATGAACCTATAAAAAATATTTATTAGTAATTCTAGTCAAAAATACTGATTGAACTACTTATGGGAGTGATTTCCAAGATAGATATGTGAGGTGTTTAAAGTGGATTTTCCAAAATGGTACTTCTTTATACCAAACGGATCCTACTTCCAATGTGATCTTACCTAGTCGGTGTTTATATTCACGGGTTCGTACTTATGAATTCTACGACATATATTGTTGTACTGTGTCGAACGTGAAACTTTGAAAAATCATAACTTCCTCATACAATGTTAGATTTAAGTGTTCTTTATATTCACGAGTTCGTAATTATGACTACTACAACTTTCGTTTAGAACACATTGGTTGAAATGCAATGTATCAATACTCTAACTTTCGTAATTATACATTTATACTATATGATGAAAATGAGGTGTTACATAGAACCCTGATCAGATCGACCCTAAATACCAATATTGTAGACGTGACATCCTAAACTGAACTCGGTGTAGACCCAAGTTCACACTTGGAAAATTGAACGTCACTGCAACATTCGAACTTTCACTATCCAAAGACAATCACCAAACCCGAGTTTGCTAGAAGCTAAGATCCCACAACCAAACAACCAAGGGTACACACACCTAGAAACCTAGATATACAATTGAAAAAAAAATGATGAATGGTCTACACACCAACTACAGCTTCAACTATTACTACTTCAAAACCCTCGAATGATCCCCAAGATGCTGACGAGGAATAGAATGACCAACCGATCAAAAATGAACCGACAGTTGAACCCAACAATCTCGAATACTACCGAATGAATCGGATATGGAAATGCACACACTGAACTCTGAAGTTGATCGACGGATCAACGACTGCTCATCCTTGACCACAGATAGCAATCCATACTGCGAGATAACCAAATCTCTCGAAGCCCAATACACAATCTTAGTGGCCCCAAATGCTTCTTGAAATAATATTCAACGTCTCCAAAAGGAATTATTAGCCATAATGAGTTATTTTCCCAACATATTCTTGTTGCGAGGACATCCCATGCATCCCTGAGGACCAAAATATGATGGCAACTTGCTATGCACCCACAAGTTGGCTAATTCACAAATCCTTTCTAGCCATGAAGGATTCTGACGGGTCCTTGAGAAATGCAACAATAAAACTTTCTACCCATGAGCACTTCGATGGTAACCCAGTTTCCATCTATTATGCACCAATAAACCTGAACCAGTAATACTGCACACCTGAACTACATATTCATCTTCCCCATTATATTGAAACCACAAAAATTGAATAGAACGACGATACACCAAGGAAAATACCCAGTTCTTCCTCACTTACGGGTTCAAACTACCACCGATTGACGTCAACAAACAACAAATCCTCATACCAGCTCAATCGTATACCTACCAACATGTCCTCTTGGAGTGAATAATACAACATGAAATGACCCTTCAAATATAAAGCAACCAATCTCAGTGAAAATATAAATCTCAGATGGATACATTGCGAACTTTCCCATCATTACCACTTCTAAAACATTTATAATCCATTGTAGATGCATAATCAATAACTCCAATAGTCCAAACATAACATCAATTCTCTAACTAGCAATAATGGACTAACAACACACCTCACCTACAAATTCCCATTAAACAAATAATCACAAGAATTATCAAAATACAAGAGGAATCATTCTCATAGTCAGGACACACCAGAGACAATAAAATTTTTCAGTAACAAATCACCTCTCCCAGTTACCTTTAACAATCAACTAGAACATGACCTAATTGATTTCAAAGGAAATAGTCCCGTGATTTCTCCTTTTTTAGTCTCATCTGATATGACTCTCTTGCCCCTTCTGAAATATCTCGAGGAAACCATACGATAAGAACCCCCTTGCATATTCCCAAACTCTTCGGGGGCAAACACAACTACCTAGAACTGTAGGTTTGTTTAATCGGATACAAACAAGTTACAATCAAGAACAAAGGATTGTCGTAAAGATGCTTTTCACTAAGAAAATTTCTCACCAAGAGAACATATGCACAAAGCAACACACAAAGTGATACTAGGGTTTAAACCTATTAAAATAATATATAGAAAGGTGATTATGGAAATCCATACATTAACGAGATTATATGTAATCTATAATATAGACTGATCCTAATCACAAAGATATCATGTCAGTCATCTAACCGCTAAAGTTACTATAATTACAAGTACAAGCTAAACTATACAAAGGTTACACACTGATGTTGGCCTTTACAGGTATGCATTGGCGTTGGTGCTGATGATCAGCGTGTATTAGTTCTTGACTCTTCAAATAATAAGGCTTGACCTTACAATCTCCCCATAATCAATAACTCCAACAGTCCAAACATAGCATCAATTCTCTAACTAGCAATAATGGACTAACAACACACCTCACCTACAAATTCCCATTAAACAAATAATCACAAGAATTATAAAAATACAAGAGGAATCATTCTCATAGTCAGGACACACCAGAGACAATAAATTTTTCAGTCACAAATCACCTCTCCTAGTTACCTTTAACAATCAACTAGAACATGACCTAATTGATTTCAAAGGAAATAGTCCCGTGATCTCTCCTTTTTCAGTCTCATATGAAATGACTCTCTTGCCCCCTTCTGAAATATCTCGAGGAAACCATACCATAAGAACCCCCTTGCATATTCCCAAACTCTTCGGGGCAAACACAACTACCTAGAATTGTAGGTTTGTTTGATCGGATACAAACAAGTTACAATCAAGAACAAAGGATTATCGTAAAGATGCTTTTCACTAAGAAAATTTCTCACCAAGAGAACATATGCACAAAGCAACACATAAAGTGATACTAGGGTTTAAACCTATTAAAACAATATATAGAAAGATGATTATGGAAATCCATACATTAATGACATTATATCTAATCTATAATATAGACTGATCCTAATCACAAAGATATCGGGTCAGTCATCTAACCCCTAAAGTTACTATAATTACAAGTACAAGATAAATTATACAAAGGTTACACACTGACATTGGCCTTTACAGGTATGCGTTGGTGCTAGTGCTGATGATCAGCGTGTATTAGTTATTGACTCTTCAAATAATAAGGCTTGAACTTACAATCTCCCCATATCCGATGATGTCAAAACTAATCATCAAGAGAGTCATCAGGAGTATCATCAGAAAACTGGTTATCCTTTTTTAAGATTTCTAGCTTTATCTACCTGTATTCTTCAATGTCAAGGTATTCTAAGCATTTGTTGAGTTCTAGAGAGATTAGCACATGATAACCTTGCTTAAATTCCTTATGACGAATGTACTCCAGACGGAGATGAAACAAGTGCTCATTAAGAGCAGAGGGAAGATCTTTAGTGCACTGAAAGCACATTTGATTTTGGTTGTTGAGGTGGAAGATACCATGTTCAGGCTCCCAAATGAACATGTGATGAATTGGTTCAACACCCATAGGTAACTTCTTGTTAATGTAGACAATGCCAAAAGGAAGAAGATACTTTGAAAATTCGAACGTTTTGGGCTTACAGGTTTTATCAGTTGTGAAAGCCTGAGATGAACCAGCTAAAGGCACTAAATTCAGCTTCTTGAATTTGTTGATCAATTGTTGTAGTTCCAATTTCACTTCCTTAGCATGAATAACCTTATGTTTGTAAATTATCTTCTAAATCAAGATCCACTCACTGTAGCCATATTTTACTAGTTCACGAGCAAATACAATTTCAGTATATTCACACTCAGTCTTCTTTCAAACCAAATGAACCTTCAACGATTCATTCTTGGGCTTGGAGCACCTTACCTTTATGATGGGATCAAGCTTAGACCTTCGACCAAGAAATTCACCAAACTTCTTTCTATCAATTCTATCATCCAGCTCAGAGAGTTTTTTTCACTAGGAAATGATGTTGTTAAAGCGCTGAAGGTTTGTCCGTTGAAAATTAAGACCTCTATTTGCTGAGGCATACATTTGAGAAAGTTTGTAGGAGCGATGTTCATCTCTTTCTTTTTGTATTGAAGCATTATGCTCAAGCATGATTTCCCTGACTTCCTCAATTGGAAGTCTCCAAACCTTGGCTAGTTCTTCCAAATTAACTGTCAGCTTCCAAATTAACCTTGGCTATTCAGCATTATTAGCTTCCCTTGAAGAATAAGCCTTTTTTTAATGAGCTGATCATCATCAGTTTTGAGTGCCCCGAGGAATCTTCCCATTAGATAATGTATCTAGATAAATGATATTTAAAGGAGCAACAATTTGTGTCATGAAATGCATATCCAGAAAACCTTCATAATCTCCATTAGTCTCAGGCTGATTATCAGCATTTCTAGGCTCAGGCTCTGACTCCGGCTGACGAATAGCAGTGATAGCCATATCTTGATTTATCTCCCCCTTTATAGCATCATCAGCCCGAGGAGATACATAAGAAGAGTTATGAGGTGGATAGGGGGTACGAGGAGGAGGGTTTGATGATGGAGGAGGTGGATGAGGATTGTTATCAGACGGGGATGGTATGTGGAGAGTTTTGATCATCATGTAAAGATTCGGGAGGAATGTCTTCAACAATTTCATCATCTTCTATTAAGGCAATTGTGTACTTAATTTTAGCCACATTGCTCTCAAATTTGGTAAATCTTTGTCAAAGAGATTGTGTTAGTTGAACCAAAAGAGAGAGAGAGAGAGAGAGAGAGGGAGAGAGAGAGAGTTGAGAAAGCACCATTGATTGGAAGTTAGAATTGGACTCCCCCTGAAGGGTAGAGGCATCTTGAAGGGGAGTTGATAGCGGCAAGGTAACTGTAGCTTATGGAGAAGGAGATGTTGGACTATAAACATCAACAACATGAGTCAGCGGATTATTTATTCCAGCTTGAAGTGGAGAAGTTCATCCACATTGTGTGATATTTTCAAAAATAGGAGTTGGTGATGATGGAGAGGTCAAAGCAAAGTAAATGTGCTTGTTTAATCTTGGAGGAGAATTGCTAACCAGACCCTGAGCTAAAGTTTCAACCATGTCAGTATCAGTCTTGCTATCATAGGAGACAGTATTAGAATCTTCATCTTCAACTTCAGTATTATCAAAGTTTACAAAGGAATGATTGGATTCCTCTTCATCTTCAACTTTATCTTCATCCCCATTGTCTTCTTCAAAGTCTGTCATAACGTCCTAAAAATGCCAATTAAAAATTTCATATTAAAACATAAAGTCATACAAACATTGGTTAAATCCAATCAATATCAATACTATTTTCAAACATCAAAGTATATCAAAATTGATAGATGTTGAAAAAGCCATCGGGGGATGTTGTGTAGTCAAGTCTAGCCTTTCCCTCTGGAACTGAAAATACCTGAAAAATATTTAAACCACAAAATGTAAGCACAAAGCTTAGTGAATTCCACAAAATACTTCAGACTGTATATAGATTAAGGAATGCTATGTGCCAACCATAGTCTTACAATCACTATCTTTCCATGAGCCACATCATGGTCGTTCCGTGCCATATCATGGGCCAAAACCTAGGTCTTACAAACAAGTACCAAGAGCCACCTCCTGGTCTTCCATGCAAGTATCAAAAAGACAACTAACATCCTACATGTAACTACCAAGGTCCAGACCCTGGTCTTGCATACAATTACCGAGATCCATATCCATGTCTTTCATACAATTGCCAGGTCCACCACCAGGTCTTCCTACATGATAGAGTGAGGAAAATCACCTGACTCATAAAGGTAACTATAACTCAGCTCAATGTCATGCTGACCACAGCTAACAGATTCCCCCAACCAACAAATGGGTGCTAAACACCTCCATATAATCCACAAAAGGTAGAACCCTAAGTATACCTTCTAAATATATAAATTTGACCAAAATTCAAACAATGCCAAACATCAGTGGTCAAATTCTAAGTTAATAGCTAACAATTCCAACCATCGAGCCTTACGTCGTAACCAGCCGTTGGTCACGCTGTGAGAGCACACCCGACCCGATTCCAACTCAACTCGCTCTAACTCAACCAAATCGGTCATGGACAACCCATTAAGCAAACCTCACAACGTGAAGCATCCTCAGTCACGTTGTAAGAACCAAAAGACACAACAAAAACGGGATCATATCATGGTCATGTCGTGACACCCCTAGTGTCACGTTGTCACTACAGTTTGAAGCATCAACCCAAAGATTTGAGTTCTTAATCCATTAAGTCTCTAACTACCACTTTTCCATAAGCTAAAGGGGACTCCCAAGGGCTATTTAATGGTTACTTTTTGGGCATGTATGCCTCATGCATGTTAGGAATGACAACGGGGTGGGTTCGGGGTGGGGTATGGTTTCCCAAACCTGCCCCGATATTTTTTGGGTATCTTATCGGGACGCCCCATTGGGTTTCGGATTTTCCCGTCGGGTTTCGGGTATCTTATCAGGTTTATAACAATTCATAATGAAATATTTATTCCGTTTTAGGGTACCCTAATGTATTATCAATAATACATATTCTAGCCTCCATTTTAAATTAAAAATATGATACATCACTTTAATAAAATAAATTGGACGTTATATTAAAAATTATTTGATTTAAATTCAGTATAATACGTCAAAACATAAATAATTGTTAATAACTAAAAATATTATTTGATTTAACTTTAGTGTAATACGTCAAAACATAAAAAATGATCATTCACACCATATTTTTAAAAAACTAAATAGATTGTCCACAATAAGTATTTTATCTTTGAATGTGTGCAATTAACATTAAAAATATTCGGGTGTTTCCTAGTCCCTAAAGGTGTTTCCTTGCATTTTTTTGCTTCTAAACACTATATTCATTCCAATATATGTCATTATATGCCATTTAGGACTCGTTTGTGTCTGGGGATTCCATTCGGGGAACTTCTCATCCTTACGCGCATATTCGTTTGAATCACCCACATAAGGTGAGTTCATACCCCTATAACCAATCTTTTAAACTATTTTTAAATGCTTTTAAGGGGGGGAATACAAGTTGAACACAATGTTAATTGTGTAAATGTTTTGTTATAAACATCTTTTAAATGATTTCTTATGTACTATTAAGTGATCAAAACGTTTCAAAAACTCTTTTAAAGTTATGTTACTTCATAGGTTACAAAACTCCGTTTTTAAAGTACAATCATAACTTAGTATATAAAATGAGTGTTTTTCCTTCAGGTCCTTATCAGTTCAAGTAAACATACTAGTAAACTATAATAGGTATAGTTTAGGGGTTCAGTTTATACAATAACTAGTATAGGGAGGAACATATTATAACAAGTACATGGAGGAACATACTATAACAAGTACAGGGAGGAACATACGATAACAAGTACAAAGAGGAAATACTATAACAATAATAGACGAACAATTCAAGAATTACACACTTATACGATGTTCCTAGTACTCTAGGAAGACATTGTACTCTTAACTCGTTGTTTGTAACAAATTAAGGTATTAATATATCTTTACGGGTTTGCGTTAACACTTTTACAATTACACGTACCTGAGTTAGCAGGCACGAGGTGATAAAACATAATAATATATCTTTCTAGATCTGCGTTAACACTTGTACGATTACACGTACCTAAGTTAGCAGGCACGAGGTGATAAAACATAATAATATATCTTTTCGAATCTGCGTTAACACTTGTACGATTACACGTACCTGAGTTAGCAGGCACGAAGTGATAAAACATAATAATATATATTTTCGGATCTGCGTTAACACTTGTACGATTACACGTACCTAGGTTAGTAGGCACGAGGTGTTAGCAATATATTGAATCGAATTTAGTTATACAGAGTACATTTGTAAAGTATCTGACAATAATAAATAAAACGTACAATTATACAAAATTCATGTCAGTATTAGCTAAGGCATCAGAGTACAAACTTTCATTACTACTAGTAGTCGTCCAAACAATGGAATAGTGGGTAAACTAAATTAGAAACTTATCCGTAAAGGGGTTTAATCCATTTTATTAAACCAATATAACTTAAAGTACCTTAAGTGGTTAGTTCTATAATGTCGTAGTTTATACATGAGGGTTATACAGATCATTAATATTCGATGGGTAGTTGGATATGTGATTTTCTTCTTACTTCCTGTTCCTTGTTTGGTTATGGGCTTAGGGAAAATTCACACAATTAACTATTCGTTCAATATTAGGTTATATATAACTAGTGTAAACTAAGTGATTATTGAATAAACCATTATTGTTACGATTTTTACTAAAAGAAATAAGGGTTTTATTAAAGGATCTTTTCATCAAATATTTACAGTTAACTCCGTGAGTACCAAGTGAATACACCATGGTTATATACAACGAAGAGCTAACAACCAATGGGATGTGTGCCATCCACCTCATTCCGTGTTCCTTGTTTGGTTGTGGGCTTAGGGTAGATACACACAATCGATTGTTTGTTTACTCTGGGTTTTATATAACTTGTATCCACTTAGTACTCATAGAAAGGATTGTAGAGTCATTTTTACTTATCTTTCATCAAAGCAGGAAATATAGGATTTTTTAGAGGAACAGACGAACTTTTCTAAACAAAACAGAACTTACAACTTACTACAACTTTCCTACAAATTACTTACATCACTAAAATCTTATGAACTCACCAGCTTAAATGCTGATCACCTCTTTCAAAATAACTTGTATTCTCAGGAAACCAATAGACAGGTACGCGAACTGGGAATTCAGAAGATGGAGCAGTATAGCTTCACGTCTTGTTTTTTCATTTACTTTTTGGTCTATGTTATATGAACCACATACTTTGTAAACACTTTCTTTCTAATGAAATGGTTGTTTATTACTTTGATTACTATGATGCATGTCTTGTGATACTAAACATGACGTCCTCTACCCCAGAACGTTTCCACCGTTCCGGTTTTGGGGTGTGACACAATTCCAGCGTGTAATCTTGGTTTCCAATTCTATGAAGAACTTTGAATGGTCCAGTGAATCTTGGACTCAGCTTTACTCACTTTCCAAATATGATAAGTACCTTACATCGAGAGATTTTAAGCAATACTTGGTCTCCGATTTTGAAAGTAATCAATTGTTACTTCTTATCTTCATAGTTCTTCAGACAGTTTTGAGTTGCTAACATCCTTTCTCTTATCACTTTTAGTTTATCAACAGTCTGATGAACAATCTCAGGACCCATAAACTGCTTCTCTCTAACTTTAATCCAAAACGATGGTGTACAACACTTATATACGTACAATGCTTAATAAGGTGTCATCTTAATGCTTGAATGGTAACTATTGTTCTAAGAAAATTCCACCTAAGGTATATGCTCATCCTAATTACCCATAAACTCCAAAGTATAAGCTCTTAGCATGTCTTAGAATGTTTGAATTGTTCTCTTGCTTTGACCATCATTCTGCGGGTGATAAGCAGTACTCAAACATATTTTTGCACCCATCTTTTCATGTAAACTTCTACAAAATCTAGAAGTAAAACGACTATCACAATCTAACACAATCGTCAAGGGAATACCATGAGCTCTCACTATCTCTTTCACTTAAACTTTTGCAAGCTTTTCCATAGACCATCTCTCATTGGTTGCTATCAAATCCGCACTTTTTTTCAATCGATCTATGATTACCCAAATCATGTCATGACCTTCCTTTATTTTGGGAAATTTTTTCACAAAATTCATGGTGATCTCTTCCCACTTACCCATGGGTACCGGTAAAGGTTCCAAATTCCCATACAGTTTCTGATGTTGCGCTTTAACTCTTGCACAGGTCACACACTCAACCACATAATTAGTAATATACAATTTCATCATCGGCCACCAGTAATATGGTTTTAGATTCATATACATGTTAGTGCTGCTAGGATGAATAAAGTACATGGTTTTGTGAGACTCTTCCATGAGAACATCTCTTACTCCTCCCATCATAGGCACCCAAATTATATTTTGTAATACCTTCAACCCTTGGTTGTTTGTCTCAAGCACTAACATTTTGCCTAAATGTTTATCCTTTCAGTTATCTCCTTCCAAAGAATCCTCCCGAGCTTTCTTGATACTTTCTACAATCGTCAATACAATTTTAATTCTCAACCATCTTGGCCTTTTCATCTCCAGGTTTATTTTTCTAATCATATCATCCACTACGATATTCTCTTTACCAGGTGGTAAAGTATCTCACAGTCATATTCCTTGTGTAATTCTAGCCAACGTCGTTGTCTCATGTTCAACTACTTTTGATCAAAGAGATATTAAAGACTCTTGTGATTGGTGAAAAGTTTGCACTTTTTGCTATAAAGATAATGTCTCCGCATCTTCGGTGAAAAAACTATTGCTGCCAACTCCAGATCATGAGTAGGGTAGTTTTTTTCGTGTATTTTTAGTTGTCTGGATAAATAAGCTATCACTTTATCTCTGTGGGTCATCACACAACCTAAACCAACGCCATATACATCACTATAAACTACAAAGTCTTCAACTCCATCGGGTAAATAAAGGATTGGTGCTT